TTTTCTATAAAACTGAGAAAAAAATCGGCCAAAATCAAAAAGTGTTTAGGATGAGCGCAATTGTGAGTTTGAAGTTGTTGTTTTTTTTTTTTTACCCGTCTGCCACCAGTGATCCAGCACGGGAGCCCCGAAGCTTCTCTTGGCCCATTCCAGCGTCTCCACGTCGCAACGCTCCCCGGCCAAGAAGACGGCGCGCAGCCTGGGAGGACAAACCCGTCAATCGCAGCATCCCGGGCGGATGTGAGGGCGGCGCGGGAGATTTCGCCCACTACCTGGGGAGGGGGTAGGCCGCCCCGCTTCGGGCGCGGGGGTCCTGCTGGCGGATGGCCCGCACGGCAGTGGGCGCGGTGAACATGGCGGCGGCGCCGTGCTCGGCGAGGACGCGGAAGAAGGCGCCGGGGTCCGGGGTTCCCACGGGCTTGCCCTCGTAGAGGATGCTGCTGTTTCCGTGCAGGAGCGGGCCGTAGCAGATGTACGAGTGGCCCACCACCCAGCCCAGGTCCGACGCCGCCCACCAAACCTGCCGCCGCAGGTTAGCCGCCACGCTAACACATGCACAAAATAAGCTAACGTGCACTTACTTCGCCGGGCTGAAGTCCGTAAATGTTGGACATGGTCCACTTCAGCATCACGGCGCACCCACCGGTGTCCCTCACCACACCCTGAGCGGCAAAAACAACAATTATTGCATCAGTGGCTTCCATCATTTCCAAAATGACGTTTGATTCGCAACAATAATTTTCCACAAATAATGTGCAATTTGATTTTTAGGGGGTTTTTTTGCACAAAAAATAAAATAAAAATCGCAAATTGACTTTTGCTAAGTATGTATGCAATGTGGTTTATTTTACACAAACTCCAGTTTGGAGACCTTGGGCGTTCCAGTGGTGCCGGACGTGTACAGGATGTAGAGCGGGTGGTCTGAGGGGACGGGGACGCAATCGTGGGGCCGCGCGGCCGCCATCTCCTCATCCCAGTCCAGAGACAAGTCCCCCCTCACCGACACTTTCTCCTGCAAGGACACAAACGGTGCGTGCATCGAGTCACATTTTCATAGAAAATTCCAGGCACTTTAACATACTGGCATATGACTTGGGACTCAATTGTGTCCATCGGCGCTTTTGAAATCAAAGTTCTTGGAACCTTTAGCACATGGTACCTGTACATTTCTGGACCTTGCATACGTACTTGGACGCAAAAATGTCGACACCAAGTATTCTGGTCTTCCAAAAGTTCCTCACCATGTTGGCTCTGCAGTAGACGAGTACTTTGGATGGCCTGTGAGAGCTGAGTTCCAAGGCCTTTTCCACCAGTGGCACGTAGGCCACCTGGCGGCCCGGCTCGATCCCAAACGAGGCGGTCACGATCATTTTGGGCTGCAAAAAAAAAAGTCAAATATTTGGCTTCTTCCAATTCCACTTGCACCTACGTTACATGTTATTGACATATGCAAATTGGACAAATTTCTTTTTTGCAACCACCTCTATGGATGACAAGGCCCGTGTTTACATTTACCCTGGCGACGTTCCTGTCTCACCTTGGCGTGATCGATGCGCACCGACAGCTCTTTGGAAGCAAAGCCGCCAAAGATCAGGCTGTGCGGTGCGCCGATGCGGGCGCACGCCAACATGGCAAACATGGCCTGGGGCACCATCGGCATGTAGATGACCACCAGGTCACCTTTGCCAACCCCGTTCTTCACCAGAACGCCGGCGAGCCGTGACACCTGAGGCAAAATACAAATATTAAAAAAAAAAAAAAAAAACACACAAAAAGCCAAGATTTGATCCATGAAATTGAATGACTTAATGACCATTGGGCCATGTTTTTGTGGTTCACACAAAAATATTACAGTACAGTAATCCTGATACATGGTTACTACTTTTTTGCCACTGCTTTATTGACTGTGGTGGATGGATTCCGTAGTTTGAAACGCAAGTTACCTGGTCCTGGAGTTCCCGGTAGGTGATGATACACTTGGTGCTGGTCACAGGGCTGTCGTAGATGATGGCCGCCTGCTCGCCGCGGCCGCCTTCCACGTGACGATCCACAGCGTTGTAACACATGTTTAGCTTGCCACCCACAAACCTCACAGACAAAAATGAAATACAGACATGCACACCACAACAAATTATATTTAAAAATCCTGAGGAATATAGCCTGTAAATGAAAACATTTCCAGTTTCATTTAAAAGACGTATTTTCGAGACTGAGACAAACTTGGACAGTTTTCTGTTTGTGATTGTCACGGGTTATCTAATTCTAAAATAGTTAGTTTTGTTAATTAACTATTTAGTACTTTGGTGAGCTATTGCATGCAAAACAAGTCGGCGCCCCTTAGTGGATTGCTTTTGTTTTGCTCTTCACTCTTGTTTTGATTCGTTTGTTGTGATTTGGTGGGTCGTTTTTCTACTAACCCCACGGGACGTTTTGCGTTTGCTTTACATTTTGACAACGGGCCCTTCCTAAGCGAAAAGGAAGACAATTTTAACCGTCACAT